GAAAGCTAAAAGAAAAAAAAAACCAATAAAGTGTTGTGCATATAAACGCGCTGCAAGAAGTGAGAAATCGTGGAAGTCGGGAACATGCATGACGATGCTGTCATGAAGTATTTATATGAGGGCCTTGGATCTTAATTATTTTAAGAAGAAATTATCTTAGTTATTGGCAGTGTTAAGGCTACGTCACTGTAGGACAGTGAGCAAGTGAATGAAGAGGTGAAGAATTCTGACGGTTAAAGAACCAGTAAGAAAAAGGATTTTTTAAATTGTGTTGGTTTTTGTTTTTGTCATAAAATAAATGTAGCTTAGTCGCCGCTGCTTTGATGACAATTATGATGACTAAATGCAAGCTAAATCTTGACCAATACTCCTGGGACAATCGCTGATGATGTTGCTTGTTAACTGATGGAAATACATTTTAGCAGAGAACTTCAAGGTCTGTTTAGAGGGTGTTGTTTAAGACGACTTTTACTTTTTTTTTCTTCTGTAACTTCAGTTAAACGTCTGAGAATTTAAAATGTTTAGTTGCATTTTTAAATACTTAATAGTGGTGTAGCTTTTGCTTATGGTAAATAATATTCAAAAAATGCTTTTGAAACGCCATTTTTGCTGGTTGTTTCACGTCGTTTATGCGACAAATCACTAACGGGTTTCCGTAGATAACCTGTTTGACTGTTTTTTTGTGTATACCATGAAAATTTTTTCAAGATTCTTGCTATAATTTTAGCAACAAATTGTGCTCAAAATTATTGCTTTATTACGAATGGCATAAATGCTTTAAATGAGGTCAGAAATTTTACACTAGTGAAGAGGCAGTGTCGGCAGTGCAGATTATCGTTCTTCGTTTTTAAGATATAACTGCTGTTGAAAACCAACCTAGTTTTTGTTTTCTTTGTTAGGTGGAAAAAAAAGGAGTTCTCAAAAAAATATATTACGAAATTTTTGACAATATATCTTACGGATAAGCATGCGTCAAATTATATTTCTAACAATCTAAGTTTAAGTTAAAACATAGCAAAACAACTTTCTGAATTTATAATTCATCAATATAAATGGCTGTATCAATGATGTTATGTGGGATTACTCTGTGAGAACTTGTTTTAAATTTCTATTCCAAAGAATGTTGAATTGTAATGAATGTAGGATCAGTGGAAAAAGCCAAATTGAAATTTCACGTACATTCTCATCACCGTTAATAATTATTATGCAAACAAGCTTTCAGGAATTGACAAACAACAATATTCAATACTCGTCGTGGTTTTGATGAACAGCAGACATTACCAGGAGATATTCAGATTTAGTCGACGTTTTGCTCAAAAGTATTCTTTAATGTTAAAAATGGATAGAACTTATTTTTAGTTTTAATACTTATCACATTAAATTTTTTTAATATTTTTATTAACTACCTTTAATGTTGACTAATTCTAAGCTTTCTGTTCAGTGCGCAACTTCTTTTAATTAATGTACTTTAACACCGTCAACCATACATCAGCGTAATCAGATAATTACGGTGATAACACGTAACTACCGCACTAAGACATTTGTTTTACTTCTAATTTTGATTATAATTTGATTTCCGAAATTTAAACATTAGCTCAAATTTTAGTTGCTGGATTAAGGAGGAGCGCTGTGTTGTTCGGGTTGTTGAGAAGAATTAGGGGACATTTGCATCCTTCCGCACTATAAATACACGCACATACACCAAATGTCGTGCGGTGTCGGCTTGGTTGGCTTAGCTTTTTCATTGCTTTGTCAAAAACGACGGTCCTGTAATGAAGGTCAGTGATACTGTCCTGAGCGGTTCCGAGGTTTAGTTTTTTGCAGAATCAGTTCATTGTTTTGAAATCTTCCAGCTTTTTGAATTCTATAGGACTTTTAGCTCGCTTTTGTTTTGAGGTTTGTTGTGATTTATGCTACTAAAGTTGCTCAAGTAATATCTGTGCGGATATACATTACGATATTAGATGAATTTCAGGAGCTCTTTTTGTTTCGTTTTTTCTGCGCTTCTGAAATATAACTGGGTGAAAAAATAACTTTTGGCATTAAAACTCTCTGGAACTCTGTTTTCACTAATTGAATTTGTTTTCTGTCCATTGACTATTAATTTTCTAGGGATCTGTTTATTGCACACTCAGCGTCTTTTCCACCCTCGTCACCCCTCTTCTTTTTTCCTGTTGCTGTTGTTCTGTTCTTGTTATTTCCTTCTAGTTCTCCAATTTTTAAACTACATCTTTCTATTTTCATTTTTTTTATTTCTTCAAATTTTTCATTTTTTTAGGCTGCGTTCGATTACTTTTTTCTTTGTTCCTCGATTACTGTCTCTTAGAGGTTTGAGGAGTAAAGCAAGCAAAGTAGAAATCTGTGTTATTACTAAACTTTATTTCTCTTCTTTTTTTTATAATACAATGCTTTGAACACAACCGCATTTTGCAAATACATTTATTCATTCTTTTATAGATTCAAAAAGAAAGATTTTTTGATCAAAGCACTTGAAACAGACTACTATTTGGTGATTGTTGATTACATGGATATCTTGATTTAAGATTAAAATTTATATCAAAACTGTCGTATAAAAGAACATAAACTTGATAAATTGGACATAGTTGAACTCCTATTCATATTTATTGCGTGCAAATTTTGTTGGACAATTTTTAATGTTGGTGCAGTTGTTCAAGGGATTTCTATCTTGTCTGTGGATCTTATTTGTCTTTTTTCTGCGAGTAAGTAGAGTTAGGAAAGAGGAGGGAAGAAGAGGGGGAAAATGTGTAGAAGGAAGAAGGAAAGGAAATTGCGTTTTTGCAGCATGTGACCGCGGATTAGCTTTGTAGATTAGACAAAGTGATGTTGCAAAAACTGACATAACTGAGCCCAAATAAAAGGACAAAAAAAGCACTGATATTGTTGGTTTTGACAAAAGACTACCAGCCTTTTCTGTTAATTAGTTTTTATCTAAACACACATTTTCTTATTCTAATGAAATAGGCACTAGTGCTATGCTGGTATTGCAATCATCACATGATTTTGGGATGGAAAAACCTTCATACTGCTTAAATAACTGTTTGTTTTTTTAAGAGCGAAAATAAAAGGAGGATAAGACCTGAGAGGTCAGATTCTGTTCGCTTCGTTAGTGCTGAATTAAGACTAAAAACTGAGAAAATAGTTAAGGTTATTTGAGCCAGGAATTTTTGACACTAGTTTTTGGTTGATCTTTGCAATTTGGGCAGCAGCAGGCTCCCACTATAATAATGTGCAACTAATTCTCTTGAATCAAGTGAAACATTCGTTATTATCTTTCCACAGAACATTGAACAGTTTTAGAATTTGCAGCTGTCTCAAAGGAACAAGAAAGACAGGTCTCAGGTGTTGAGTGAATGATATACGTTGTTTGAGAGTTAAAGTGTTCTTAGCGAATGAGTTTTGCGACATGATTTGATTGTCTTGTACAATTTTTTATATTTCTTTAGAGATTCTCGGTTTCTACGAGTTGTTAAAGTTTGAACATACGATCACCCTTTATGCTATATTTTGGAGTATTGAGCAAAATAAAGTGTCGAAGAACTGTTATGCAATTTAAATAGAATTGGGTAAGGTGCTGAAGTTATCATTAGAGATTCTGTTATTCAAATGAAACGGTTTAGATTTTTGGAAAATTATAGTATCTTGATAGCAAATGAAAGATAATTTTAACTGTGTTGGTGAAACTTTGTAAATTATCTATCAAAAGTGTCGATAAATATATCTAAGTATAATTTTCGCAGGTCTTGGTTTATTTGTTAATATTTTTGCGTATGCTGCGCTCAGTCATTTGGATAAACGTTAATGGTCTGCGGTCATCGTGCTTAAATATTGACCGCTAAGTAGTCACAACATTAGCAGCAGCAAAAACAACGGCAGCGATTATCGTCTACTGTTATGTTCCCTATCTTTTGGCTGGATTTATCGACATAGGACACATAGATACATGCGCTTATGTTTATTTGGATGTAGCGTTTCCATCTTTGCAAAAAACCGTTCACTTCCAGAAAAAAAAAAAAAAAAACACATGAGGGCCATATGGAATGAACGTGTTTAATTTTTCTGTAGTCACAGCTGTTTGAGTATATTGTCATTTTTTGAAATTTTTTTCGTTTATTTCAACATTTTTTTGTGTAAAGAATCTGTGAATAAAGTAGGTGCAAAAAACTGCAGTTCAGAAAATACAGTCGATAAGTTTGTTGGTAAAAAGTCTTATCATTTTCAAGACTGGTTCATGTTACGATGCAGTTTACTAAACCTGTCTCCAAAAATATTCTAGTAATTATTTGACTCTTTTGAAACCATATTTCTCTGTGTAATTCAGTCGTTTTCAGTATATATTGTAAAAGTGATAATTTTGCTGACAGTTACATTTGGAGCTCTATCTGAATGTAATTGTGATCTGTACTTTGTGTTTTTGGCGCTGTAATTTAGACTTCCTTTCCATAGTCATACATAACTGCTCGTAATGCAGCAGAAGCAGCAACAGCGCAATAATTATTGTTCTATACAAATTTGTCAAAGTTTCAAAAACTAAACTTCTTGCATCTTTTAAAATTAAATGGCTTATTTATTTGACTGTTTTATTTGAACAAAATCATTAAGCCTGGGGTATCGGTTTTCCAATATTAATAAGCTGAGTCATCAAAAAGACGGTAGTGAGAAGTGTTCAAAGTCAGCAGCAAATAAATTGTGGTCACTTTTTACGCTTTTTGATGGTCACTAATGCGGCATTTGCTCAAAATGATTTTCAAATTAAATTTGCACTTATATTGCTGTTGAAACTAATTATTCAAGTGCTTCTGTGCCTCACATAGGCTTCACTTATTCCGAACAACTTTAATGCTCTTTTTTAATTATAGTAAAAGATATTACTGTTATTAAAAAGCATTTATTTAGATGGTTATATATTGTCGGTTTCGTTGAAAATGCCTTTTTTGGAGGTTCTATGCAACAGCTTCATGTTTAAGTGGTGAGTGTTCAGCATGTTCATTGCATGCCCTATTATTACTTGGATATTTCTTGGAAGTTTTGTTCTGTCCACTGTTCAAGAAAATATCAACAACACTTTACATAGTGTTTTCGGCAAGAGGATTCCAGCTTTAAGCCAGATCAGTGTGCCCCTAGATACTGGCAAGTATTTAAAAGTTTGGAACGACGGTAAGACACTTTGTTCGGTGACTGCTACTGAAACAGCTATATTTGACCAATGCTGCTTTCCATTTATTTCACCAGCTTACAAGCTGTTTTACAACGATGTCTTCGTTACCAACTTTTCGGTGGTAGAACCTCAGCTTGCGCTTGAAGTTCCTTCGGAGCAACGAATTTGCCAGTTGCTTAAATTAACTAAAGTTTTTCTACGTTGTGAAGCAAACAAATTTTTTGTCTGTCTTCAATATCGCCCAACAAACGTTTTACCTCAGATGCAAAACCGCTTTGTGGATGTTGTTAGTGTTCCGGTTAATTCTTCCGTTACGGTTATTCCAGAACAATCATTTGCTTTACCCGGTCTGTACAGAGTTCAGCTAAAAACTGATGATAAAGTTTTAAAAGTAAGTTTTCTGACAAAATATGTATGCTTACGTTTTGATGCCTTTTACGTATGCTTTTTATATTTGTGGTTCAAACTGTATAATTTCTGCTTGACAGAACATAGTAAGTTTTTTATGGTATTTTTATGGTAAATTTGCAAAAAATTTAATTTTTTCATTGTACGTTGTTATTTTCACTATATTTTTTTAAATTGTAGATAGCCTATTTAAACACTTGATAATCACTGGTAATAATTCAAGGAGAGTAAAGTTTTCAAAGTGGAAAATTACGGTGAATTTTCACTTGCTTTTGGTCAGCAGAGTATTTTTCCACAGTGTAGGAAGAGTTTCAAAGTCAGTTGGACAAAGGCCCAGTGCTTAGATTTGAGCTTAAACTTTCGACTTCGAATTTTTGCTGTTCCAGAAGGGGGATCTGTTGAACGATCGTATTACCTGGAAGAAATTCATTTAGGTAAAATTTTATTAATCACTTTCAGTGTTCAAAGTATTTTAGCAGTTTTTCGGAACACTAATTAACTGTCATCCAAAATAGCTGCTAAAGAGACATTTCAGATGCTAGTGACAGCTATGCATTGCTGCCGTGTTCCATGTTCGATATAATCTATTCACATTTTTGCTTCGAACTTGTATCCGTTCAAGAGCGAACGCTATATTTTTACAGCTGGGACAAACGCTGCATAAAAACTGAAAATAGTTAGTTTTTGAAATTTTTTTTACCGCCACGATGATAATTGGGTTCTGGAGTACCTCCAGTGTGACCTCCAGTCAATGACCAGACTTGTTGACCTGCAGCTACTCCAAAACCTTGTTGAACAGTGATTTGTAAATTGCTTTTGTTTGTTCATGCCTTTTTTTTCTTCTTTCGACAATTTCTCCAAATGTTAGTTAACTCTAAAAATGTAACTGAAGCATACTAGTTCTTTACCTAGGATTGTTATTTGTACAAATCTTTTTCTTTTTTTTTTTATTATTGCAGTAATTTGATTTATGCAAATAGAAACAAAATTTGTT